GAGTATCTGTTTCCAAAATGAAGTCACAATCACGTGACGTCTCTGAACGTGAAAATGCCGCAAAATATTTAAAATTCTTTCCAGGTTCCATTTTCTACGTTGCTGTCGTCGTTGTTATAATTGGAGTCCTTGAACCATCATGGTTGCATCTACCAAACTATCTGGACTCGGAGTCCAACACAACAGGTATTATCTAACAGCCTACAATGGTATCCATGAAACTGTGGAATAAAAGACGACATTTAAGCAATTTTATTTGATTTTGTATTGTTGTAAAGCAAATATTTTTACCAGTATAGCTTGATATTCAAGTTAAAACTGAACAATTGTTATATTTCATGTTTATTGAACTATTTAGGATTTTAATCATAGTCTAACAGTCGTCTTCATTTTCCACAGTTGTACTTGTATAACCCTCACTTTGGTCTCACTTTATAATTTATTCCATTTTGTTGTAAATTTGGATTCTGAATCTGATGTGTACAAAAAGAATCCGGACCCGTCTCAAAATTTGCGAAACCAAAATTTAAATTTAAATTTGAGAGAAATCTGATCAGTTAATCGTAGGATTTTTGATTTTTAAATATAAACCCTCTGAATATTCCTTAACCATGATTATTTAGTGAAATCTGACTCTGCCTACTCTTCCCTATACCTGGAGAAAAAGAAACCTGTCCTGCTTCCAACTTTTCAAAAGTTTTACTCCGGACCAGAAACTATACTCTAAGAAGTGAAAGTTTTTAAGTAATGTAACTTTTAGTATTTATTTTAATTGTAGGGTGTCACAAATACCAATAGACATTTCAAGATTCAGATGGTCTTTTTTATTTTTAGCTGTGGACAACTGTAAAACGGTCTTTTACTGTTAACTATGTATATAGTATGTATACTCCAGCAGACGCTACTTTTGAAATTAAGCAGGGTTACCCACAAAGGATCAGACTGTTAAAACGACTTAAAAATCTTGAGATATGACGATTTTAAGTATAAAGGAATAGAGTCTTTGCCACTAACTCTAATTTTCTCATCCATATATCTTTGCAACCCAATGTCGTATTCCTTTAATATTTCAAACTATGAATTCTGTTACATTAAAAAGTTTAAAATATCAAATGTTTACAGCAACAGGTTTCAAAGATATACGGATTGGAAAATTTGAGTTTGTGACAAAGACTCAATTCCTTTAGTCTGCTGGCTTAAACATAGTCTTACTATTTCTTATTCATCTTTTGGGCACAAAAGGAAGTAAGTTTACAGTTGCAGGGAATAATGAATATAAGGAAAAAGACAGAACAGATTTCATAAAATCATCTCTGAAGTCTCATCTGTTCTCTGTTTTTAGGTAACCCTACAGTGGTTGTTTTTATTTTTCAGTTTTGGAATCGAATAAAATCCAGGAACCGTGCAAGATTCACGGTTTTAAATATCAATTTATTCCCTTATTTTCTTGTTTTAAAGGTATTTTTATTTTTTGTTATGAGGTTATATGAGAAGAATGTACAGAACGTATATTTTAAAACATTTCATCTAATTTGTTCTTTTCTTTAGAAGGTAGAAATTTGAGAATATTTAATTAAAAATATTCTCGTTTTTTTATATAAAATATGTAACTTAAAGGGACCATCAACATAATTAGATATATTCTCTTTTTATGCATAAATTATGTAACTTAATGGGACCATCCATGTAACTAAATATATTCTCTTTTTATAAATAATTATGTAAGTTAAAGGGACCGACAACATAATTGGAAATATTCTCTTTTTATGGATAAATTATGTAACTTAAAGGGATTGTCAACATAATTGGATATATTCTCTTTTTATGAATAAATCATGTAACTTAAAGGGACCGTCAACATAATTAGATATATTCTCTTTTAATGAATAAATTATGTAACTTAAAGGGACTGTCAACATAATTAGATATATTCTCTTTTTATGAATAAATTATGTAACTTAAAGGGACCGACAACATAATTAGAAAAATTCTCTTTTTATGAATAAATTATGTAACTTAAAGGGACTGTCAACATAATTAGAAATATTCTCTTTTTATGAATAAATTATGTAACTTAAAGGGACTGTCAACATAATTAGATATACTCTCTTTTTATGCATAAATTATGTAACTTAAAGGGACCGTCAACATAATTAGATATATTCTCTTTTAATGAATAAATTATGTAACTTAAAGGACCGTCAACATAATTAGATATATTCTCTTTTTATGAATAAATTATGTAACTTAAAGGGACCGTCAACATAATTAGAAATATTCTCTTTTTATGAATAAATTATGTAACTTAAAGGGACTGTCAACATAATTAGATATATTCTCTTTTTATGAATAAATTATGTTACTTAAAGGGACTGTCAACATAATTAGATATATTCTCTTTTTATGAATAAATTATGTAACTTAAAGGGACCGACAACATAATTAGAAATATTCTCTTATAATGAATAAATTATGTAATTTAAAGGGGCGGTCAATGATTTTTAAATGTGGGGTTTGAAAATTTACATTGATTGAGGTTTAACTTTAAAAGAAACAATTATGAATCTGGAACTTATAACTACGTCAAATGTTTCTTTTTAATACATATAAACTACGAACTCAGCTTTAAACAGAATTAATGGTGTGTCTTTGCGACAGGGAATTTATTTACATTTTCTCTCAACGCAGTAAGTTGTGTACTGAATTAAAATATTCTCAATTTAAATTGCAACTAAAGAAAGTTAAAATTTGTTGAATACATTAGCTTTTATAATTTAGACTAAATACTAAATACTATTTTTTCATCTTTCTTTTCTTAAAGCTGTAAATTGTTAAAAATAAACATTGAATCCTGATAATGACAATCAGATTTTTATTGTAAATTTGTATCCCAGATCCAGAGCTTTAATCATCTTTAGATCTTCTTGATCCCATGTTTTGTGGAAATCTCTGTATGAAAACTATTCTATAGCATAAGCTTTTTATAAATAATGATCTGCAAGGAAACAGCATAATATTTTTCCCCTGAACAAAATATTTATAAAGAAATCTTTCTTATTCAGCAATATTTATTTATAGTTAGGATTACATAACAAAACCATGCAATTTAGGTACGGAGGAAGCTTATGAGGGGGTATGTGGGAACATCCACGTGCCCCCTCCCTGGGAACAATTGGTTTAGAGCTAGGGAAAGGAGCCGGCATTTAGCTTTAGGGGTTCCAATCGGAATTCCGTTGCGCGCAATTGCGCTATAATTGTGAAAAAATGAAGCAATTAAATATTTGCGGAATTGCGTTGAATTGCGCGGAATTGCGTGCATCGGAATTGGTTTCATACCTAAAAATCAATAATTTTAAATGTTATATACTTACAAATTTATGCAGCAGATACAAGAATGAAATTAAATATCTCTGTTGATTTTTAAATAATCGAGGCCATGGAGTGTCACTAGTTTCAATAGTTTTCAAATTTTAACCCTATTCCTGCTGGGGGGGGGGGGTCAATTTGACCCCCCTGTAGTTTTTTTTTACATAACTCAAAAAGTATTGAGATTTTCTGACTTTTCCTACATACCCAAAGCCCTCCCTTTAGGCCTAAAACCGGGCTTTAATACTAACTGCCTGAGTCCTCAGGCACACTGCCTTAATGACTGCTTTTTCCTGTAACAAACTAAATCTTTGTTTTGACCCACTTTCACTTGTCAGATTTTGATGAAATTTAGCTTTTTGGAAAGCCTATGACATAAGAAAACGGATTAGACAAGTTTTGCGAAAAAAATTGCAAACTTTTTGCAAACAACCTGTCAAAGGAAATTTGCACATGTTTAGTTTTTCTTGATTAAAAATCAGGTTATTTAAAATTTTGCAAAACTTTTTGCATATTTGAAATGGCATGGTCAAGGGCTTTTCAAAAATCTATAATATATCATTTTTTGGACATTTTTTTTTGCAAACATTTTTACTATGTAAATAGATTTTGCAATAAAAAATTCAATTTTTGCAAATTTGCAATTTTTTTTGCAGATTCTAAAAGTAGAGTACAAGAGCTTTCCAATGATGTATCATTTGTCATATTTGGACATCAAACATGGGATTTAGAGGGGGGGTCAAATTGCCCCCCCCCCCCTGCTTATCCTGGTTTTCAAGTACCCCAGCAGGGATTGGGTTAAAGTTTCTTGTGGTTAAGCTACTAATTAACAATTTAATATGATACATTTTTCATTTGTTCACATTAGATAAACATTAAAACGGAAACTTTTTTTTGTTAAAATTGTAAGGTTCGTTTAATCAAAATTAGATATTTTGCTACAGTGAGAACCAGAAAACTTTGGAACAGAAAGACATCACAGTGTATTTAATGTTAAAGTTACAAGTCGAACAAAATTACTTAGTAACTTTTTAAATCACTTATCCAGTTACATGGGTCTGCTTTAGTCTAAACTGTCGTCTTCCTATGCCAGAGTTTTCTGGTTATCATGCTGCATATGAATATTATAAAACAAAAGATTAAATTTAAATTCAATTTTCTTAGCATTTGAGATTGAAATATTAGTGAAGTTCAGTTTATTGTATGCCACTTCCAAGGTTTAAATTGAATATTTTGTTGTTGAAAGGAATTGCGCAATAATTAATTGCATTTATTGCGTGCCATAAGGTTTAAATTGAATTTTATCAAAAAATTGAAACTTAACGCAAGAAAGTTGGACGGAATTGAGCGCAATTCCGTTGCGTTTATTTGCGCGCAACTATTACGGAATTGCGCGCAATTAAATTCAATTGCGTGCAAGGGCTCGCAATTGCGCGCAAATAAAATCCACTTGCATTGGAAACCCTAATAGGAAATCGATCTATAATCCTTTTGATCTTTAGGCAATCTGATCTAAAAGAATCTGATTTAAGTGGACTTAGATCTAAAAAAAATTTTAAACCAAATTCCATTTTTTTTGGGAAAATTGTGAAATTGTGATCTAAAAATAGGATTTAATCATGCCCTTTTTCATGAAGGGTAACTTTATATTATTACTATTAAGTCCCTTCAATGTTGCTTAATAACTAGCTACTTCCAAAGACTTTGCTAATTAAAGATATCGCATCAGAAATCTACGCAAATTTGACGCATTTTCTGGGGTACTAAAAGATCGTAACAAATGTCGTCTTCTCCAAAAATGCCGACGTTTCATAATGTCGTCTTTTGTAATTGTAAGGAATTAAATAGTTATTTAAAAACAAACATGGAAACAACTTTAGTTTTTCTATCTTGAAATATTTAATTTGTCCATAGTCCATAAAAGTGACTAGTGGAAAGACAATGAACATAATTTACAGAATTCATCACTTTTCAAGTTGAAATAACGTCGATATCTTCCTCATTGTTACCCAGATAAATGTTTAAATGGTACCGTTGTTGATAGGACCTGTAATGGGTTGGTAACATGAAATTACATCAATCAGTCCTATAGAACATTTACTTTTGGTTTGAAGTATATTAAGTGTTTATAAGAA